CAGACAGGCGTTTGTTCTTCCCTGATCTGACCACAAAATTCTCCCTTGCGTGACAATTTTGAAAGATGTGAAGATCTTCTCATCAGAGTTAGGAGAAGTGGATTCCTGCAGAGTTGAACGCATGCAGCAGTCTGAGGATGATGAAGAAAAGACAATTGAACACATTAGAACAGTGAAGCCTTTAACGACCACATGCAGCCTGCCGTTTATAATGTACAATAGACTCCTGTCATATTCGTGTACATATGTTACATGCCAAGTTCTAATCTGAATTTTTTGAGTTTTCCATTAGTTGGTAAAACCTGGTACCAATTACTTAGAAGAAAAAAACCAGAAAAAACAACAACAAAACTCTTCATTGGGGTTCAAAGCAAGTAGAGTCGAGCTGAAAATGGGACATAAATAGACCGCATGCCACTGATTGGTCAGGGAGTGACTCATTCTGGCTCTTATCTTTACCCCAAGTCTGAAAAAAAAGCCCCTGATTGAGCAGGTAATGCCATCGCTTTGATGTGCTCGACTGTTGCGTTTGTGTCACATACAAATTACATCACAGGACTCTTGAGCCAACCATACTAGAGGTGCTCAATTGTAATGCAAGAGAATAGAGTCGAGTAGGTAATAGTGGGAAAAGAGGCATTTTTTACTATGTAATTACAAAGGAAGTGTAGGGAAAGCACACTAAAAGCTACAGGCTGTGGCGTTTCAAGGTGGAGAATGTCAGCTTACACCATGAAGTCATCAATGTCCATCGACCTGGCTCTCTTCTCACTGAAATCTGCTTCCTGAAGGACACTCTCGATTTTTTTGCTAATGCTGAAGTCAGCTGGGACTTCCTGTGAAGATGCACAAAAAGATTCCTGATTAAAAGCAGAGAAACAGGGAGCGGGCGAGATCTTTAAAGAGGGCTGAGGAGTCGTTTATTTAAAAACTTGACTCACCGTATTGTGAAGAGAACAGTGAATTCTGTAGTTCTTCTCCAGCATCTGCTCCACTGCAGCGGACCTACAGAACACAAGATCACATGACCATCTGCTCTTGACCACACCCACTTTTGACTGAACAGTTTGAGAGCTACTCACTTAAAAGCTGCGTTGAGGGTTTTGTTTTTCCTTACAAAGGCTATTCTGACAAGGCCGTCCCACTCCTAGAATAAAAACAACATACACCTTCAGTCTAACTTATATTTTTAATGAATACTCCTCCACAGTAGGATTCGTTAACAATCAAAGCTCACCTGGAAGTTCACTGGAGGAGGAGGATTTTTGGGTTCTATCCTGACGACGCTCGACTCCACTTTCGGAGGGGGGCGGAAATTATTCTTCCCTACCTGATAACATTGAAAATACACATTAACACTGAGACATATGGTCTAGAGCAGCGGTCCCCAACCCCCGGGCCTCGGACCGGTACCGGTCCGTGAGTCGTTTGGTACCGAGCCGCAAGAGTTGAGGTTCAGGTGTGAAATGTATAGTTTTCAGGGTTTTTAATCTGTTTTCAGCGTTATTTTGTTATCGTTTTTATTGTTTACTCTGTTTTCCTGGGTCTTTTCACGTGTGTTATGAATATTTTTTCTTTTTTTCGGTATCGGTACTAGTTTTATTTTGTTGTATTTATCCGCGACACCTTAAAGGCCGGTCCATGAAAATATTGTCGGGCATAAACCGGTCCGTGGCGCAAAAAAGGTTGGGGACCGTTGGTCTAGAGAGTTGCTGTTAGCATTAGACAACCATCAGAGAGCGGATGCTGACCTTCATGAGATGGTCTACACGAGCCAGAAGCTGTGTGTTGATGGAAAGTCTGCAGTACAGTTTGTCTCCAGGCTTGGCAACCAGGCGCATGGCGAACTCTCGCTGGAACATCAAGACTGCACACCTGGAGGAAAATAAATAAATAACAGGCACTTAACACAGCAGGGATACGAGAAAAGACGATCAAACTTCCTCTATGGACCTCCAGCTGTGTCTCACCTGAAGAAAGGCCGGTGCAGCAGGAGCTTGAAGACAAAAGGTGATGAAATCTGCACAAAGAGAAACTGTGTTTGGTCCAAGTGCAATGCAAGACACTGAAAGACTTGTGTGGATTTGGCAGAAACACGTCCGTACCTGGTAAGGTAAGTTAGCCACACAGACGTCAAAGAAAGGCAGATCTGTTTTTAGCACATCTCCAATTAATATCTGAAGCTTGGTTTGTAAGGGTCTGATGGAGAAAACAATAATTTTATTAGATCACTTTATATTCAAATATGACTTTTAAGCACAGTATATGTAAGAGCAGCACTGCTTTGTTCACTCACGTGCACTGTACTCTCTTCTGAAGTTCAGCCACCAATCTGCAGTCCAACTCGCAGGCGACTACCTGCAAAAACGGCGAGTCACTTTTAAAAATCTGCAGTCACTGCAGCACCGAACAAACACCAAAGTGAACCGAAATACCAGACAAACTCCGGGAGTGCGGTCTGTGTAGTCTTATGGCAGTTTTATACTTTCCAAGTGTGTGGAGGGTCTTTTTGGGGGTGTAAATTTTATCATTACAGGGTAAAAGGAGCACTCTGTGTCCTCTCCAATTAACTGTGACAACGTGGACCTGTCTGTAAAGACACCATGCTGAGATCTACCAACTACGCACGTGTGCTCCAAGCATTCTCCAAGAAACAATATAACAGAAACATGCATTCATACGTGCTTTCTGCAACTGTCTGCAAGCAATTAAAATACTGGCCCTGGGCTTTTTGATTTAGATTTATTTATTTTAATTTTTTCTTATTTATTTTTATTTTTACACATCAGATGCATTTGTACCTCCTCCTGGAATCGAACCAAATATATGTTGATTGTAGAGTTAATCCACATGAGTTACTAAATATCGTCTCCACCGTCTGTCACAGCTCCACTGGTGATTTTGAAAAATAAAGTGTGACTTTCTGGGATACTTAAAACTTTGACTGCACCACTGAAAATACATTTTGATGTATATGCTCCTTTTCATGCAAATTATCCACAATATGCAATTCATTTTTGGTGTTTGCTAAATTTTATAAAATCTCAAATCTCACAAATGAATTAAACTTTTGGTGGTTTGAAAGGATTTTGTGCAACTTTTTGTCCCATTTGCAATTTAGTTGGGGCTTAATAAGTTACAGAACATCTCATAACAAATAATGAGAATGTAAAACAAACTAATTGGATTTTCAGTGTCAATATTAAATATGTTTACACAATTCTCTATTAAATATAGGTTTAAAAATATCTGTATTTACTGACATTGTGTATCACAACATGTTTGAAAAAAGGCTTGCATAAAGGTGTAGTGTGAGTTCTTGGAGCGAGACCCCCGACAGTTTGAGGCTCTTACTTTTTTGGCTTTTTCCAGCAGCTTAACCGTCATGTTACCAGTACCAGGTCCCACCTCGAGCACCACGTCTGTCGGCCTCAAAGCAGCCTGAAAAAGAGACGCGTCACAGTTCAGTTAGATCAGCAGCCTCTGCATGATTGTCCACTTCTTTTTTTTAAAACACATATTTTACATTTTGTGAATATTTGTTAAAATTTTTGTCTGTAGCAGCATCAGCAAGTACTTCCCACCTTTTCAATAATCCCATTGACAACCAGAGGATTCTTCAGGATGTGCTGGCCGATGCCAGTGTTGAACATGATCCCTGCAACAGAGAGCAAACTGAGCACTGCATGCTGGTCATGTGTGACGACTATGGTCATTTATATATGAACAATTATATCTGTTTATATGTCCTAAGCTCACATTTTAAGCCAAGGATAAGTCCATCCATGCCAGCTCATCTAGTCCCATGAAAAACATCTATGAAGCTCTTGCAAAATCTAAACGTTATACTATACTTTTTTGCTTGTTCCCTTGCTAAGATGAATATGAGCCATTTTTCACAGTTTCTACTAAATTGGATTTTAATGCACTACAGTCCTCCTTCTGTATATACACAGCAAGAAACCCCCAAGGCTCATTTTGCAGATAAACAGCTCCTGAAAATTTTATAATCATCATTACTCAAACACTGCATCTTTTGCAGATGGGTGAACATTGCACTGCTTTTTGTTCAGTGGGGTTAACATTCACCTGGCAGTGAGACAGTATTAAGGAATCACACAATCCCGTCCAGAAACCGCTGAGAAACATGACCACGGCTACAGGTTAAAAAATATAATAATTTCCTGCGCTCATAATTGGCACCAAGATGCCATTTTTCTTTGCATCCATCCTCCTTTTTAAAAATCTTCTGCACTTCTCTCAGCCTTCAGGTAGGAATGAGTTTACAGTTCAGCCTGCCTGTTCATCAACTAAGTTTCCAGATGGTCATACTTCTAATTTCATTTAAATTCATGCATACAGACTCAGATCCGAGGCAGAAGTAACTGCTTATCATTTCAGTGTTAAACTGCTTTTGTGGACTTTCAATGTTGCTCCCGTTTCTCCATGCCCATCTATTCCTGTGGAATAAAATGCATACTGTAAAGTTGCAGCACCAATTCCCCCACCTTCCACGGTCAGTCACGACTACTTATTACAAATATCAAACGCATCTCGCAGAGTGACCAGAGTGACATTTTGATTAGTTTGATGTTTTTCCCAACAGACAATACCAAACAACAGAAAGCTTCATAAAGTCTGGCTCTCTTCCAATAGCTGCCAAGAATCAAGGAAGGCCACCTTTCCAAGAACTCGTGGTGGACTGAGGTTTGTTTCAGCCTGCAATGAATTAGTCAGGATCAGTGGTCTGGTTTGCATGAACAGTAATGAATTACTGGCTCAGCCTCATGATTTGACTTCAGTATAGCTTAAATATTTTTGTGGCTGGGCCCTTAAAACGTATCAGGGAATCTGACACCACCAAGCCCCAAACAAGAGTCTGGCTGAGTTTGTTGCTCTGTTATCAGTAAACATTTTTCATTGACAGTTGAGGTTCAGGGTGCTTGCAAATGAAATAACCACCACCATGAAAAAAAAGAGAAAAAAAATCAAAACGAGCATTTTAACATAATGACAAAAGACATTTATTTACATATCAGGAATGACTTTCAACATTTCTTCATACATAAGCCTCTTTGGTGAATATTTACATTCATAATATTGCAAAACAGTAGTAATAAATCTACATGTTAGAACTGTTACAGTCAGTTATGTTTCTCTGATCTTGATTAAGCATAAACAATTTGTGTTTACGTCATTTGTTCACCTCCTAAACAATGCATACAGAAAATAACAGCGGAAGCAGCTGGACTAAATATCGCAGTTAGCACAAATTAACAATTTGCAGGAAAAGAAACCTTTTAATTGAAGTAGCTGGTGGGCTGGAGTCACTAAAACGTTTCCACGTCAACACAAGTGACGACAGTTACAGCAGTGCTTCATGTTAAATGCTGTGACTGCTAAAACAGCGATACACCAGCTCAATATGCAAACACTGCACAGACACGATGACTGACCCCGTCTCTAAAGTCTGGCATGCTAACGCTAACGCACCCCGTTCAGAAACGTACCTTGGTTTTTGACCTCTTGGTGCTGTCTGCTTTTCTTCACCGCTTTGACCTTCGGCATTTTACTTTATTTTGTCCTACTTAAAGAGCTACAAAAATCCAAATTGTAAGTAATTATCCAGAGTAAGGCTGGCTGGACTTTGTAAACACGTGTAGTCCTTCCTCTATGCTGCTCCTTCTCTTCTTCAGTGACACGCTGAGCTGCAGGTTTCATCTGTTGGCTCGCTTCCTCCGCGCCCTCTGGTGGCGATCTGGCGGCATTGCTTTTACTTTTTCAAGATGAAACTAAAACTGTTTTTGAAACAGTTTGACACACACACACACACACACACACACACACACACACACACACACACACACACACACACACACACACACACACACACACACCATCTTTACTCAGAGATGGGAAACTCCTCGAGTGTCATGGCGATGTCTCGAAGTTTGGGATCATCAAGCCAGTTGACTTTACAGGCCAAGAGAATGCCCTGAAGAGGAAAACAAACATTAACATACAACCAACAAAACTGCGAGTGAGTATCATACATTCAGTCATAAACTGTACCGACTGTTTTTTCTAAAGTTTACCCTGAGGACATTTTGGGTCATGATGGCCATCTTTTTATATTTTTCCAGGTTTGCTTGGCCTTTCTCCAACGCAGCTTTGTACTTTTCCATGTCTGGATACTCTTTCCTTGAAGACTCCTCCATGTGTTTGATCTTCTCATGCGTGAGCCGTTTCATCTCTGCAAGCAGAAAGTACTACTTTAATCTGGAGTCGAAACAATAAATAACTAAGAACTTTAACTGTGAAAGACATCCGATTTCTTTCTCGTAAAGCATACCAAGTCTGTTCTTCTGTATTTCTGTAACCTCATCTTGAAGTTTTTTGGACTCCTGTTGGAAAAATAAATAGTAGATTAGGGTATAAAACCCTCAACTTTAAGTAGCACTTTAACCTGTAGCATTTATGTTGAAGAATAAAGGTCGTCATGCCAAGTATTGACTTGGACAGATCCTGTGTTTGCCTTATATACACTGCACTTCCATGAACGTTTTCATGTTTCAATAAAGATCAGAACACATTATCCATTTTCCAAGCAAAATATCAAATGAGGGTTGACTCAAGACCTTTGCACAATACTATAAGTGATTACAATACCCTAACAAAACAAATTGTCTAATATAGGAAATCCCATAAAATTTTAAACACACAAAGCACTTCAAAGAAGAACACAGACTTAAGCTGCTCACCTGTTGAAGGTGTTTTATGTGTGAACAAAGACCCATGCAGCGGTCACTTATGGCTTTCAGAGCACTGAGGGAAAAAAAACAAAACAAATGTTTTGATAAAAATAATTAAATATTTCAGCTGTTTCTGTATGATGTCAGTTGACTTACTCTGCTTCAGAGTCACTCCAGTTCAGCTTTTCTCCGATAGCGTGCCACATCTGCATTCTGAAAGACAGAGACAATCAATGATCTGTCACGAAAAATATGAGAACATCTGAACTCCAAAAACAAATAATACAAGCAGCAGTTTACCTGTGCAGGGTCAGTGTGCTGTTAAAATGAAGCGTCTTCACCCTTTCAAGCTCACCGATATATTCTGGCCTGAAACGAACAAGTGTCAACATCTTTTTTTCCCCTTTTCTATTTAACATTTGGCTTTAAAACATCAAATACTCACAAGTCTCTCTCTGCTTCAGATGTGCTGCATGACCTTTTATTTTTTTCTATCAGGGGAAACTTAAAATTAATTTCCATTTTTGCTCTTAAAAAATAAAAACAAATTTATTCAAGAAAATTGTTTTATACCTGCGTTGAGCTGTACTGCCATCTCAAAGCACTGGTTGGACATCTGTTGCTTTATTCTGTAAAGAAAGTAAAGACCAGAGGTGACGTGTGCGGCACAGCTGGATCAAAAACTGACCTTCAACACCAATGTTGGGATGAGAGATACAAACCTCAGCATGTCTACAGGTGACGTGTCTTTCTGTCCGGTGGCACCTTCAGCAGCAGGAACATCATTTGGCTCCATAGTCCCCACCATGTGATTGAGTTTCCCCTGGCTGTCAGATGACTCCATCACCAAAAAAAAGAAAAAAAAAAAAAAAAAAAAAAAAAAAAGAAAAAAAAACGAGTGAAGATTCCTGGAGAGACAAATCAAACCACAGAAATGTGGGTTTAATCCAACATAAGAAACTATAGCTCATTAAAACTCAGTCTGACTAATATGCACTAATATACAGAAAATAATGGCATTTAACTTGAAGTCTGCCAGTCATCAAGTTTTTTTTTTTGGTTTTTTGTTTCAGTGGCCGAAACAAGTATACTCATCTCAACATACAAAACACATCATACAGCCTTACACTCATTCATAATTCATACATGCAGCTGGTGCAAAAAAAAAAAAAAAAAAAAAAAAGGCCACAAATCATGAGCAAGACAGAGTTAAACTTAAGTTTTCAGCAGCCAAGCTGAGGAAGGCTGTTTCAAAATACAAACTTATCAACTCAAACATGTGAAAAAATTATTTGAAATTTCAATTAGTAAGTCAAAATGTTGAGATTGTGATAAGAAATTCTGGCTTAGTGTCTTATTAATAGTCCCACTTGGCAGAAACAAGCTTGTATAAAAATATCATATTTTAAGTGGGGATCGGCAAATACCCCACAATAAAATATTATCACAATTTGATATGCATTAAGATTTTATGATATACTAAGTTTCAATAACTTTTAAAATAACCAATTATGTTCTCAAAGTTAAACTTTGTCTGTTTTATCCAATAAGCACACCAACACTGTCAATAAACCTGGCATAGCTGTATTGCCATAAGACAGACAGGCCAACTGTATGCAACTGAATTTTAATTACAGTTGTTGTTAATTACATCCAATCTGTTCCTGATAATACAACAGTTAACAGTGATAAGCTGTCTGAAAATACCAAATGTGAATTTGTGTCCTCGTAGACGTCAACAGAAATTCACTTTTAACTGTTAAATTTGTGCTCAGCAGCCTTTCTGCTCTATAGGAATATGACCAGAATACAACCAGCTGGAAGCCATTTGAGTCGAGTCTCCTTATTAACAAAGACTTGTTCAAACTGATGGCGACATGTTGGCAATCTGTCTGCATTTATAAATTAGACAGCAAGTATTTGATAACAAGTATATTTCTGACTGGCAAACTGTGACTGAATACAGAAGACTGCCTCCTATTAAACGACCAATGCAATCACCTTGTGATCAAGTGGTTGTGAGTGGTGGCCAGCGGGCAGACAGACAGACTGATGGTTTTTCAGTTGACCAGAAAACTGCACAACGTTATGTAGAAAAAGAAAATCCAGGCAGATTCTGCAGGTTGCACCAATGAATTGTCTGGTTTCCTTGCTGTACGCCTCCACCGTAACCACTGAGCTCAGTGGTTTGCAAACAGTAAGCAGTTTTGTTGTGCAAGTGTCAATCTTCAGATAATGAACGGAAACGCAGCCAAGATACGAGCAAAGATGCTTCTGTGACTGAGACTCCTGCCACCTGTTCATTGCGACACAGTGAAACCACTTCTCAAATCACTAACCTGCCGCTCCAGTCATCTTATATAAAATCATCATCACTGGTAGTTCAATCGCTTCACGGTGCTATGCTTAGCACCTGTGTAAAAGCACCCGCAGTAATTTGTCACCCATCAGTTTTACAGTCACACAAAGTAAAGCGTAGGCTTCTGATGTCGTAGAAGCTGAAACTGTACTTCAGTGCAGCTCTGCTTCTGCGCTGTACACACACATACAGCAGCCTTAATCAGAGTTGATGCTCGTCTTTATACGGTTACAGCGGCCCTTTTCAGCAGCTGTCAGCGTAGCGCTAAAACTAATATCGGTTTATTTAAAATAAAATTTTTTTACCTCTCTTAACGGAATTGATGATGCTTCAAGTCCAAATGACATCAAATAAGCACTGTCTGCTGAACCTCTGTTAGCTTCGGCGTTACACTTGCTAGTTAACGTCAGTCGCTCAGTGTAACGGCGAGTTACAACTCTTCACAAGCTTTCATCTGTGTGAAATGCGGTTGTTAATTAGCAAGAAAATGCGCAATAGGTAATCAGTTTTGTCACCGCGTTAAATTGTTATTGTTTTTCTTTGTCAGGGATTAGCAAACCAGCCTACAAGTTCAGTACCGCCACCTGTCGGACAGGAGGGTAAAACTGAAGACAAGCAGGAGAACACTCATGCACCTTCAGCAAGGAGTTGGTTTCACTCTCTTTAATGCTCATTTTAACGTTTTAAAAGAAACAAAGCCCACCCTTGCCCACAACATATTAACCGACTTCTGGATAATTGGCCTATAGCTGAACTACTAGTTCATAATGTTAACCAACCATTAAATGAGTTCAGTGATTCTTCTCTATTTATGTCTTCCACTTTACTCGTATAAGGACCTGATATATAAGCATTTCACTGTGCATTACACTCATATAACTGTGTGTGTGACAACATCCCAATGTGTTTAATCTTTCTTTTTAAAGAATTAAGTTTGGCTATTACATTTTTACACATAATAGCCCAGTCATTAAAAAATTAAGAACTAAAAAAAGATGTATATGTATGAAAAGGTCATGTCTTCAGAAAACTAATACGTTTTGAACAGTGAGTCTCAGGAGGAGAAAAAACTCTCAGCTCAATACATTTAAGCATACAGAGATGGTCAAGCTGACTTGCTGAAGTTCAAACTTAAAATCAGAATGAAGAAGAAAGCTGATTGACATTACTTTAAACATGGCACGATTGTTGGTGTTAGATGGGCTGGTCTGAGTAGTTTAGATACTGGAGATCTACTAGGATTTCCCCACAGAACCATCTCTAGTGTTTATAGAGAATGATCTGAAAAAGAAACTGTCCAGTCAATGGCAGTGTTCTGGGGTAAAACACAGTGTTAATGTCAGAGGAAGGGTAGAATGACCAAGTAATAATCACTCGTTACAACCAAGGTATGCAGAAGAGCATCTCTGAATGCACTACATGAAACAGATTTACTACAGCAGCAGAAGGCCACAATGGGGGCCACTCCTGTCAACTAAAAACAGGAAACTAAGGCTACAGTTTGCACAAGCACATGACAACAGAAGATTGGCAAAAAAAAAAATTACTGGTCTAATGAATGTTGACTTCTATTCTAAATTTCAGATGGTAAGGTCAGGATTTGGTGTAAATTACATTAAAGCATCCATACTGGCTTGTTTCAATGGTTCAGGCTGCTGTCTGTGGTGTAATGGCCTGTTAGAGATTCTTTGTACACTTTGGGTCTCTTAGCTGAAAATCAATTAAATACCACAGCGTTCCTGAGTATTGTTCCTAACCAAGTCAATCCTTTTATAACTACACTGAATCCAACTTATGACTGCTATTAAGAACAGTATCATTACACAATGTCACAAATCTCACATTATCTCAAACTGGCTTCTTGGCTAAGATAGTGAGTCCGCTTTCCTCAGGCGCCAGATCGCAATCTAATACACCAAATCTGGGATGAACTGGACTTGGAGATACTCATTATGAATGTGCAACGGCTGCAAATCTGCAGCAACTGTGTGATGCTATCGTGCCAACATAGACCATGAATAAGGAAGGCAGTTCTGGGGGTCGAACCTAGTGCTAGCAACGTTTACCTAACGAAGTGCCCGGTGAGTGTACCGTTACAGAAAAATAAAGTGAATCCTCAAACTAAGAACAAGCACCCGAGTCACTACACAGGAGAGTAAACACATGCATTATTTTCATATAACGTCATTTAACGTGTTTTCAGCTGGTTATAACTTAGCGTTAAAACTACTTCGGTTTACATATAAGTCTTACCTCGATTGAGTTAGGTTAACGCTCTTATGTCAAGATTTAAAAAAGAAGACAAAGAAGCAGAGGTTAGTCCCTGGCGTCGTCGTTACACTCGCCCGTTAAAGTTAACAATTTTTTGCTTATCAAAATGTCACCAGCTGTAACACATCAAACTGTTTACGCCGCGCGACTTAATTTTATAACGACGCCGTCCCGCCAAGAAACACGTAACGGAACGTCACCATACGTCACACGTCTGCCTGTGACCAGAACCAACGCTCAACTGAACTTTCAACTTTCAAAGGCTCTGCCTGTCACACATCAAGGGATGCGGCGCCCCCTGCTGGTCGAGAGGGAAAACACATATGTGGACAAATACAACAGGTTTGTTTTCTTTATTATACCGTTTACCATAGTTACTATAGCTACTATAGTTAACCCGCATGTATATGAAATGAAATACTTGCTTTTTAAAAATATTAGTGGCTGAAGAGTGGTATGAAACCAATGTACATTTTTTTATATACAAAAACAAAAGTATTCTTCATTCAAGACAAACACATTTTATTGAAATACGCCTTTTATTCCTTTACTTGCAAAGTTTTGCCTCATCATTCTCTCTCTACTATTTTTAAGTATTTGCTCTTGAGAGTAAAAGTGTTAGACACGGTGCCATAAATCATACAATGAACCACGAGTTTAGTTGTGACCCAAGGTGTTTCCCCTGCACGCTGAACTGACGATCTCGCCTCGACTTCCTAAGGTCCATCAAACAAAACAAACCAGGATGAGGTTCAGTTGTGATGCAAGATTATGATTTGTGTAAACAGCAGTGTAATTTACACCTCTACACCTGACACAGTTAAAACTGAAACACTATTTCACATGCATTTTTTTCTATATGTAAACTATGCCTGACATTTATTCTTCTGACTGGATTAATTTATTGAAGCCATTCTTACTTCTTCGATTGATTAGGTAAACGCTTTAGGTTGAATCAGGTAGGGTTTTCCAAACAGTCGCAAATTGCAATAGCCTCCCAAAGCAGGACACCACAAAAACTTCGCAATTTGATCTAACATCAAGCAGGATTAAACACATGCAGGGGCCCAAATAAGCATTTCCATAACAAACCTTAAATCTTTTTATGCCGATTACGTCGACTGATTATGGATGATGTACTCAACAGTAGGCCAATTTGATGCCATCTCAAAGTGAAAAGCGACAGGTTCCACCGAGATTTGAACTCGGATCGCTGGATTCAAAGTCCAGAGTGCTAACCATTACACCATGGAACCCTT